CTTAGATCCTACACTTGTGGAGGATAAGGATAAAAGAAAAGTTATGCCTTCCTCTTATAAACACCATGATAGGAGGTTTGCCCCTTATGGCCAGCGGCAGCCTTTTCGGACTGACTCCGGGCCCAGCGGGTCCTATTTTTCCAGGCACTACTCTCACGGAGGCGATCGGGCCGCTGACCGACCTGCCTACCGGGATTGGGGCAGAGGTCAGCCTAACACCAGACGTCAATACCGTGGGGCGTCCAACCGGCCTTTCCGAAGGGGAAAGTGACTATACCACAGAACTCCCCATTGGCGGTCGTCTTCTCCATTTCTTGCCCCAATGGGCCTCCTCTACAACAGACGCTTGGGTTCTCCAGACTGTGAGGTTCGGCCTCACTTTGGATTTCTTCTCCAGCCCTCCGAACCGCTTCCTTCGATGCCCGATTCTGAGCAACCCGGAGAAAGGAGCATTGATGGACGCAGAAATTCAACATCTGCTCGCCATCGAGCCTGTACCAGTAGAACAACGGGGATCCGGCTTCTACTCGCGCCTGTTTCTCATCCCAAAGTCTTCCGGGGGCTGGAGAGGAATTTTAGACCAGAAGGCGCTGAACAAGTTCGTCAGGTATCACCACTTCAAAATGCAGTCGCTCAAGTTGATTCTGCAGGGCGTCCGACAGGGCGACTTTATGACGTCAATCGATCTCAAGGAGGCTTACCTGCATGTCCCGATCCGTCCTTCATATTGACGGTTTCTTCAGTTTGCTTACTCCAACAGGCACTTCCAATATCGGGCCATGCCGTTTGGCCTCTTGTCCGCCCCTCGGACCTTCACGAAGCTTCTGGCGACCTTGGCGGCATCCTTGCGACAAATCCCCATCAGGGTCATGTGCTCTCTGGACGACATCATCATTCTATCTGCCTCTTGAGATCAGGCTGTAGAGGATCTCAGGATAGTGTCCCGTCTCTTGCAACAGCACGGGTTCTCCCTGAACCTCGACAAGAGTCAGCTCTCGCCCACCACTTGCATTCTCCATCTTGGAGCTGTCATAGATTCGGTCAGTTGTCGTGTCTTCCTGTCCCCCGACAGGATTCACAGCATTCGTTCCTTGGTGACCCAGGTTCTATCTCTCAGATCAGTTCCCTTGATCACCCTGTCCCAATTGCTCGGCAAACTAATTTCGTGCATCTCAATTGTCCCGTGGGCTTGTCTTCACAGTCGTCCTCTTCAATGGTTCCTCCTTCCCTATCAGAGATCCCTCCGAGCGTGCTTGAACATCACTGTTGTCCTCCCAGCTGCACTACGGTTGTCTCTGAGATGGTGGACGTCCCCGTCCATACGGAAGGGCTTGTTCTTTCTGGAACCCACTCAGATAATTCTAACGACGGACGCAAGTCAGTTCGGCTGGGGCCCTCATCTGCTGTCATCGGTTGCACAGGGCCGCTGGTCCACTCGGGACTTACAGCACGACATAAATTGGTTGGAACTACGAGCAGTCCACCTCGCTCTCCTTCATTTCCGAACAACTGTAAAAGGGCGTCATGTGCTAGTCCTAACGGACAATACAATAATGAAAGCCCATGTCAACAGGGAAGGGGGAACACGCTCCAGGCAACTGATGGAAGAGGCGATGAGAATGCTCCTTTGGGCTGAGAGGACCGTTCTCTCCCTGACAGCCGAGCACATATCCGGGGTCCAAAACGTCACGGCAGATTGGCTCAGCCGGACTCAACTGGATCAGGCGGAGTGGCGCCTACATCCGGCCTTGTTCAGAGATCTATCGAATCGGTTCGGCCTCCCAACGGTCGACCTGTTTGCAACTCACCTGAACGCCCATCTTCCCCAATTCTTCTCCCGGTTTCCCTGTCCCGGAGCAGAAGGGTGCAACGCACTTCGAAGCAGGTGGCCACAGGGCCTGCTCTACGCCTTCCCCCCTCTGCCGCTCATTCCTCGGGTGATTCTCAAGCTGTTGGAGGAGAGGGCGGATCTGATCCTGGTCGCTCCCAATTGGCCGCGTTGCTCCTGGTACCCGGACCTCCGGAACCTCTCGGTGGAGCGTCCTTGGCACATTCCCAACGACCGGATATCTCTCAGCCAGGGGGTCATCCTGCACCCAGACCCTCAGTGGTTGCAGTTGACCGTCTGGCGTTTGCGAGGATCCACCTGAGGAAGGACAACATCCCGGCTAGCGTGATCCACACTATGCAGTCTGCCAGACGGTCCTCAACAAACCGTATCTACGACGCCATCTGGTGCTCCTTTTGCACCTGGTGCTCCAAGTCTCATCAGGACCCCACAACAGCATCTCCTTCTGATGTCCTCGTGTTCCTTCAGGAGGGTTTGGACTGTGGCCTTGCTCCTAATACCCTGAGGTGTCAAGTGGCGGCCCTCAGCACAGTTTTGTCTTCTGTGGACGATTGACCTTTGACCCAAAATCCCCATATACGGACCTTCTTACGGGGAGCATCCAATCTCCGTCCTCCTACTATCCATCGATACCCAACTTGGGACTTGCCATTAGTACTGTCAGCCCTCATGTCACCCCCCTTTGAGCCATTGGCTTCTATATCTCTTCGATGTCTGACTCTCAAAGTTGCCTTCTTAGTGGCGATTACTTCGGCGAGACGGGTGTCTGTGCAACCCGACCTGTGTGTTTTCCATCCCAATAGAGTAGTGCTTCGTACGGATCCTTCTTTTCTACCCAAGGTAAATTCTCTGTACCACCGAGCCCAAGAATTGATTCTACCTGACTTTTGTCCAACACCTAGCCATCATCTTGAACAATAATGGCATACCTTGGACGTTAAAAGAGCTCTCCGTAGATACATCAAGCGGACTGCTTCTTTCCGTAAATCCGAAGCCTTGTTCCTGTCTTTCAATCCTTCTACATTGGGCATGAAAGTTTCATCATCCACAATTGGTCGTTGGATCAAATCATGCATCGTCACAGCGTACCGAACCAGACGGACTCCTCTGCCGGGGAGGATCCTCCCTCACTCTACCCGTAGTGCAGCCACTTCAGTGGCTTGGGCTACTCAGGCATCCATCCTTGACATCTGCAGGGCTGCAACATGGACTACTTTGACTCCTTTTGTTCGACACTACAAAATTGACTCCTTTGCATCGGCTGAGGCTTCATTTGGTCGTCGAGTGCTACAGTCTGTTCTGGCTGTCTCTTTACGGGATGACGCAGCCTCCCACCCTACTTCTGACTAGCTTGGGTATATCCCATAATTTGGATTCTCCAAGCAGCGCGCTGGAGAACGGACATTGACTTACCTGAACGTCCTTTCTCGGCGCGCTGATGGAGAATCCAACCCATCCCTTCGGCTGCTTCTAGCCAGGACTGTTTCTGTTTTTTTGTCTATTAACTTGTTTCATGACAGCACTACCTTCTGTTGACCTCGCGAATGAACTGGAGCTTAGCCAAGCAAGGGAGGAGTGGCCAAGGATGTTTCTTAAAGAAACATTCACCCAGTCTAGCAATCAAGCTGAGGAACTGCCCATAATTTGGATTCTCCATCAGCGCGCCGAGAAAGGACGTTCAGGTAAGTCAACGTCCGTTCCCCACAATCCTGTCTCAGCTGAAGGAGCTTCTTGGAATCTTCAAAAAGAAAAAATGAAGTTCAGTTGCCTCCTGAAAAAGCACCTTTGAGACAACCATGACCTGGAAGACTGAGAATCTCTACTGACCTTCAACATGTGATTATTGCTGTTAGCCAAAGCAGCCCTTTCAGGAGAGCAGCAGAACTGGAAAAGTCCAGTGTTAAGTTGGTAAGATCTTAAGACAGTCAGTAGAGTATCCTTGATTGAGGATGGATCATTGGTTCCACTATGTTGCAATTTGTTTGCTAAGGCTGCGCTTAGGTCATACTGAGAGGTAGTGAGGAGGCTTCTATTTTGTTTAGATGGGATTACAGTAGACTTTGTCTGGGGGTCAGTTTGGGTCTGATAGGATTAGATAAAGAGAGGAGCTGGATTTAACCTGGTCATGTCCAAAAGACAGGGAGGAAAACGGGTGCAGCCTCCATTTTATATGTTACATTTATTTTCTCCATCACACACATTTCTCTGTAATCTGCTGAAAGATCCAAGCACTACAGGAAGAATGTGGCCCGACCGGAAGTAATAATTGTGTGCCAATAATTCACACCCAGCACTCCATGACAAATGTCCAGCAGTCCAAGACAAATGTCTGTAACTGGAGGGGAGAGAGTGGCCTGTCTACTAGCCAGTTAGGAGAGGAGGCAGAGCGTACCCTTGAAATGAAGTACTACCAATTGCCTACTCAACAACCTCCTGTGGCCATGGCTGGTAAAGGGTACTGTTGGAAAGAATTGCAGAAACCATGATCGGTAGGCTCTCTGAGCCTTATGGTGGTGGTACAATGGTTAGAATGCAGTACTGCAGGCTACTTCTGCTGACTGCCAGCTGACTGCAATTTGGCAGTTCAAATTTCACCAGGGTCAAGGTTGACTTAGCCTTCCATCCTTCCGAGGTGGGTAAAATGAGGACCCAGATTGTTGGGGGGCATTATGCTGATTCTGTAAACTGCTTAGAGAGTGGCCACAGGAGGCCACTGTGAAGCGGTATATATCTAAATGCTATTGCTGTGCACTGTGAAGCGGTATATATCTAAATGCTATTGCTATTTCCATTCTAAAACATGAGTTTTCAGGTTTGGAAACTGGCAGGAGATGTTTATCAACAGGAATATATTTGTAGAGGCAGCAAGCCCTCCAAAAAAGTGATAGAAAATTGAAACTTTTGCTTTTTCCTCATTATCCTTTTGGCTTCCAATCTTGGAGCAGGACGTTTCTGAAATATTTGTCCACAATTCTAAAGGCCAGCTGTGTGTGAAATTAAACCCTTTATTTTTATGAGCTATTCTACACTCTACTGATTTGCTTTTGGCCATGCTTGATTCCCGGGTTCTCTGAAGTGCTTTTTTTTGTCCTATAAATCACTACCTTCCCTTTTCTACTTGATTCTGACAGACTTGTGCTCTCTCTTTCAGGAAGCTATTTTGCCAGTCACTTCATCATGGGAGGTGAGAAGTTTGACTCTACACATCCTGAAGGCTATCTCTTTGGGGAGAACAGTGACCTCAACTTTCTTGGGAACAGACCTGTACCAGTAAGAAAAGCTCTGGCATGTGCTTGTATTTGTGTATGTGTGCATGTGTGTACATACACAATTGGTTTGGAGCTGTGAAACAGCCACTTAAAGTTTGAAACTGATTGTTCCAATCTTACTGGAAATGCTTTGACGTTTTTCTGAACACGTCAAAAGGGTTCTGAATTTAAACTGATCCCCTTTCAGGCTTAAAACAAGGCTGTTTCTGTCTGGAATAGCTTTAACATCCTGTTTCAAGTTCTATTTGTTTCAGATTGGGAAACTTTTGAACAATCCTGGAATACACTATTCATTTTTGTTAATAGAAAAATGGAAGGATTTAAAGATGTGCAACTGCTGATAGAAAGTTAATGGGTACAGATAGTCCTTAACTTTCAACAGTTTTATTTAGTGACCATTCAGAGTTACAATGACACTGAAAAAAGTGACTTATGACCGTTTTTCACACTTATGACTGTTGTAGCATCCCCATGGTCACATGATCAAAATTCGGATGCTTGGCAATAGGTTCATATTTATAACAGTTGAGATGTTTTGAGGCTTTGTGATCCTATTTTGCAACCTTTTGACAAGCAGAATCAATGAGAAAGCTAGATTCACTTTACCAGATTACTAACTTAATAGCTGCAGTGATTCACTTAACAACTGTGGCAAGAAAAGTCGTAAGATGGGGCAAAACCCACTTAAGTGTCTCACTTAGCAACATAAATTTTGGGCTCCATTGTGGTCAGAAGTCGAAGCCTGTTGTGAGGAATGAGTATTTTGTCAAAAGAAATGAAAATGGCTGTGTATAAGAGCGTGCGTCTGCTTATTTAAGCCATCTGACTAGGTGGCTCAGTGGCTAAGACACTGAGCTTGTCGATCAGAAAGGTCGGCAGTTCGGCGGTTCGAATCCCTAGTACAGGTCTCCTGTGTGAGCAGGGTGTTGGACTAGATGACCTCCAAGGTCCCTTCCAACTCTGTTACTGTTATTATTATTTGTTACATTTACTTGATAATTAAAGTATGATGGAACCTAAAAGAATGCTGAATGTAGTCAAAATGTCTACTTTGGATATGTATGTAATAAATCAAGAAAAGATAGGCTCAAGAATGAATGGATGCTGAATTATTATAAACTGAATATACAAGAGAACAACCAGTATGAAAGACATATAATGAGATGGTTTGGTCATATAGAATGTGACCGCAAAAGAATTTGACTACAAAATATATATGAAAGAAGAATGATAGGTGATTGAAAAAAGAAGGGAGATTGAGAAAATTGTGATGGGATGAATCAGAGGAGGGAGTTACACACAAAACCTTAGAGCCTCCATGATTGTATAGAATCTGGGTGCCTTTACTTATCCAATTAAGGCTAATTTAAGGCATCAGGCTAGAAACTGGTAGATTGTGAGTTCTAGTCCCACATTAGGCATGAAGTTAGGTGGGTGACCTTGGACCAGTTTCTATTTCTCAACCTTAGGAAGTAGACAATGGCAAACCAGTTCCGAAAAGCCTTGCTAATAAAAATTCAGGCAGTCGCCAGAAGTCAAAAACCAACTTGAAGCAACACACATCCCTACACCCATCTTCACAAAAGAGGTGCCAAGCAATTTGGTGCTGCCTGTATCACACAATTTAAACTCATCAGTTTAAATATAGAGAGTTCTTACTTAGCAATCACAATTGAGACAAACAGCTTGATTATTAAAGAAAGCAGTCACTAAGTGAAACCACAAGGATGCTTATGATTTTACTTCAGTTTTTCCTTTGTTTTATAGACCAGCAAAGGTTGTAAATGTATTGATTGGATACAAGGTTTTTTTTTTATCATGATCATAACTGTGAACAATTACTAAACAAAGCAGTCATTAAATGAGGACCACCTGTATATAGATGTATCTCTCCTCGTTACCTTTTAAGAGAAGCCAGATATTTTAATACAGAGCATTCCAGAGAAACAATTTTCTCCCTTATCCTCATCTTCCATCATTCCTTTGTAGCTTCTCTGTGCCAGGGTTTGTTGGTTTAAAGAGCATCAAGGAAAGTCCCTGACTCCATCCTCAAGTGAAAGTTCGCTTGATTGCCTATTAGCTACAGCAAAGCATTAAATGCCAAGCCCTGCTACCGACCTCTGGGATGTGTGAGATGTTAATTATGGACAGAAGGGCTTTTTCTCCTCCTCCTTCTCTGCTGCATTCAGAACAGTGTCCTTGGGGTGGAATAAAGAACACAAGATGAGTTTCTGCAGACTCCTGAAGCGTTCTGCATGTGATGGATGTGTAAGGAGCTTTTCCATTCAGTAATAAGAAAAAGGAAAAAATAATAATTCAATGTCCAAGGAAGCTGTGGGTATATAGAGGGAAGAAAATATAATGGCACCATGCAGTCAAACATAAAGTATACTGGGCCCGCTTTGATGTCTCTGATCATGGTCAACATCGATATCAGAGAAAGAACAATGACATATTTTCATGGTTGTCCATTACCTTCCTCATTCATCTTAGATGATAAAGCATTTTATGAGGAGTTTATCCTAAGCAACCTGACATGCTCAAGGCTTTATATCTCCCTGTTTTGCTTCCAGTGCGAGGGATTGGGGCACTCGCTTTAAAAGCCTATTGTAGCAGTAATTCATAATACTTTTCTATAGCACTTTCATGTTCAAAGTGTTTTATCATCTAACTCTCTCAAAACAACCTATCGATATGCCCTGCATTGCAGAAGGGAGAAATTCCAGTTGAGAGGGAGTGATTTGCGAGGTTTACCTTGTGAGATCATAAAAGAGGCAGCCAGGATCCGTAGGGTGGCCAGCTCTCACTCCCCTGCAGGATCAGAGCTGACAATTACAGGCACCTTGCTTGATTTTCCAGTTTCAGACTCTGATGAATCTTGATGAAGATTCAGTGGGATTGGCAGTGGAGCAGGGACAGGGCTAGGAAGAAATGAATACAAGATTAGCTGCCATTCCATAGACAGCTATCATTATAATCTTCTATAGTCCGAAAAATCCAAGAACCAGAGTTGATAGGAAACCGAGATTGATTGCAGCCTGATGTGAACTAGATTCTTGGAAAGTTCGATATGACCACATGTATATCTGAGCCAGGGGTGCTATTCAGCAGGTTCTGACAGGTTCTGGAGAACTGGTATCGGAAATTTTTAGTAGTTCGGAGAACCAGCAAATACCACCTCTTGGCTGGCCCCAGAGTGGGGTGGGAATGGAGATTTTACTGTTTCATAGTGCTTTACAGCCCTCTCTAAGTGGTTTACAGAGTCAGTATATTGCCCCCAACAATTTTGGGTCCTCATTTTATCCACCTTGGAAGGATGGAAGACCGAGTCAACCTTGAAGCTGCTGAGATTTGAACTGCCAAATTGCAGGCAGCCGGCAGTCATAATACTTGGTTTTCATCAGCCAAAGACTAAGATAATCATGCCAGCTTACTTGGTGCAACTAGACTTTACTTCAAGATACTTCTCAATGGCTATCACGTTCTGCTGCTGTCTGCATAATCTGCTTGCTTCATCTTTTCCTCTTTATTAATCAAGCTCCCTCCACCGGTCTTATTACATTAGTGTGGAAAAGGTGAAACAAAAAAAGGCAGAGCTTGGGAGCTATAAAACATTCCCTTCTATTTGGCTGAGGCAGTGAAGTTGCCCAAGTAAAGTAGGTGAATTAATAATGCCTGGAGCAGATGGCTAAGCTTGTACGCTGGAAAGCTGATGGTCTTGGAGCATTTTTCCCAGAAGCTCTCTGGATCTGTTCAACCCATATTCAGAAAATAACTGCTTTTTTTAAAAAAAACTTAAGACACTCTTCATTCTGCAGGGGAAATGGAAATTATCCTTAATGCTGCTGCCTCTGTATTGGGATAAATGTTAATAAGCAAGTCTTAAAAAATAAAGCTGGCAAACATCAGAGCATTCCTTGTTCTTTTGCTCACTGGCCATGCTGTGTTCCTTTTATTCATATTTCTTTCCTTTTCCCCCTTTAAGATTCTGGCACATTGAATGTCCAGTATCCAGCAGAATACAGAAGATTCATTTTTATATATCAGGACAAGGGCCACAAAAGCACCGCACATGTTGGTTCTTAGTCAAGAGAGCAATCACTTCTTCTTTAGACATCAAAGAGACAGAGGGAAATTGGATGCTGGTTTCCTGCCTAAACACCATTGCTTGTTTATATTCCTATTTATTCTGTAATTGGGCATTTCCTTCAAGAAACGTGTTTGAAGTTCATTCGCTTGGTGAAGAAGTAGCCCCCTCTATGGGGCCTCAGTTCTTGAGCATGGAGTGATTCATTTAATTATAACTTAGGAAAATATTTGAAAAGTTTCTCTCCGGGCCTAAATGGCCAATACTAGCTGTGTTAAAACTGTAAATGTGTTCGTTCTCGTTTCTTTTTTTTAACTTGTGCAAATGTTTTATAGTGAAAAAAGATGGTTGATTTTTGTCAACTGGACAGGATGTTAGGGAATGATGGAGCTGTATGAATAGAATCCATACTGGAACATCACCCAAGCAGATCTATCTAATCTGGAAGCTCTTTTCTCACAGTGAAAAGACCAGCCTAAAAGCAGGGTAGGCAGACAACAGCTTTCCGTGATCTTTGCTCTGCCCCTCTGGCATTTGAAGGGATCCTGCCCATGAGGTGAGATTCACTTACCTTCCCTACCGGTTCACAAATGTCAACTCTGCATATGTGCACAGCCTTCTGCGCATGCGCAATAGTCGCGCATTACCTACAGGTGGGTGGGTGGAGCCTCCCGCAGTTGCCGCTATCGGTTTGCGCGATCTGGACAGAACTGACTGACTCCCACCACTGATCCTGCCTCTATATCACGGGTGTCAAACTCGCAGTGTCACATTGCCATCACATGATGTTTTGTGATTTTTTTCCCCCACTTCGCGGAGCTGGTGTGGGCATGGCCTGCGTGTGACACATCTGGCCCGTGGGCTGCCAGTTTGACATCCTTGCTCTATATCTATAGATGTTGTTTAGTTGTACT